ATGGACCCTCTGGAGGGACTACGCCGTGCGACCCTTGAGGCTGCTATGTTCCCTCATGAGGTTCTTGCGCTATTCTGTCAATGGGCGAGTGAGCACCTACAAGCACATGAAGAGACCACCCTGGCTACAGTCTGTGCAATTGAACGCTATAAGATGCTTTTTGGGCCTTCCTGGTTTGGCATTCATGACGCTCAGACTGATGACAGGCCTATGAAGGCCACCCAGGCTTTTGAATGTGCTGCAGGTTCCTTTGACGAAATTGTTATACTTCCGAAAACATTGCCAGAGTTCGAAGCCATATTTGTGGCGCATCTTTTCTCAGGACACCGCCGGGACGGTGACCTACAAGGTGTTCTGGAAAGTATGGGCTTCAAAACATTATCAATCGATATTATCTTTGATGCTACTAGAGGAAACCTCCTCAGGGAGGACACATTTCAATTTTTTCGTAAGGCCTTATATATGGGCTGGGTTCGAGGATTTGTGGCAGGTCCTCCTTGCGAAACCTGGTCTGTGGCAAGGGGAGAACATGGTGGTGGACCACGCATCGTCAGGACAGCTGCAGTGCCATATGGCCACCGCTACCTCACACGTAAGGAGTCACTACAAGTGCTACTCGGAAGCGGGCTACTCGGAGTTACTGTCAGGCTCCTGCTCATTGCAATCTTTTGTGGTGCGGTTGGAGTCATGGAGCACCCATCGGACGACTCGACTGATCCGGGAGTTGCTTCTGTGTGGAGGCTAGCCGTCATCAGATATCTCTTGCGATTTCGGGGAACAAGGCTGGTGCGCATTCTTCAGGGCTTTTATGGTGGACTCTCGCCTAAGCCAACGAAGTTGTTGTTCACACATGCACCTCGTGACCTTGAGCACATTCTGTTGGCGGCACGTTGCACTCCGCTACCATGTACCTCCGCAATTGGGCGGCAGTCGGACGGCACTTGGGCCACATCCAAGCTCAAAGAGTATCCAAAAGGACTCTGCTTTGCCCTGGCCAAAGTTTTCGAAGCTGCCCTCCCCGCCAAAGGCGGAATCAGGCACCCGGACGAGTTTCACACATTTGTATGTGATCTCATGGCCGACTTCGACACTGAGGATTTCAATCCTGCCACTGCCTATATATATATCCCGAAAAAACGCCCCTCCTTTCTCTGTGGGCATCAGGCGCAAGGTTGCTAGAGATGGTGCAATGCTGTTTGAAAAGGTCTTGGACAGCTTCCTAGCAGCATGTTTCAAAAGACTGCCTTGTTGTTGTCCAGTGGAGAAAGCATACTATTCCCTTGCTGAAAACACCTACTTGCCTTCTGAAATAGAATTACTACTTGGCATTTCGGCCACCAGCCTCAAGCCAAGGGGTATTGAGAAAGGTGCAAAACTTTCAATTAGAGAATGGAGCTCAAAGATACTGGACACCGTGGTCCTTTGGAGAGCATGTTCCAAATGCGTAATGCTCAGTGGTTTGGAATTATTGATAAACTAGCTCTTGATGCTGGCGAAGCTTCATAGACTGCTTTGCATATCTAGCATTGTGATATACGGTGTCTTTTTGCTTGCTTGTACTGCGAAGAACGATAGACCTTTTTGGAAAATGCGCGCTGATCCCCATGAGAAAATGTTGCTTTATTTAGTTTAACAAGTCATGGAGGGAGCCGGTCAGGGATTTCGGTTTTGTGGCTCTTGTCAGTGCACTCCGTTCCGTTTTAGTCTGGTCTTTGTCCCCTCTTCTCTCTTGCGCCCTTCTCTTTCCATCGTTTCAAGTGTTTGGTTCAAGCGTCTTCGTTCCCGAAATTAAATTTGGTAGAGTTTTCGATTTGCTCACCAGCTCGCTCGGCTTCTAGGAAACTAGGTCCGTCACTGTCATCTGGATCTTTTGTTGTTTCAAATCCCCACAACTGCCATTTACAAGACCGAATGTCTCTTTCATCAGTAAAACCATTTCAAGTGCTTGCAGCAGTCTTTTCAAATTGTCCAACATACTGCAACCCTTGCAGGACTGGGCAAGTGTAGCCCAACAAAGCGAGCCACGGGGCACCTCTCCCTTTCTGTCTCAATTGCATCTTCGGCAGAGATGTCTTCAGCTGCGGAAACCGCGGCTAAAGAAGGTACATGCCTTATGCAGGGCAAGGCCAGCGAAACTTCGATGTGCCCTGGGGGTGGCAAAAACAAATGCATGAAAAATATGTTGGCTCAATGTGTGCAGAAACCACAGCCTTGACCAAATGCTTATAGGGTTCAGGATGTCAATTCCTATTGCAACTATTTTGCCTGCTTGGTGCGTACGCTGCACAAGAAGCAATATGCCAGCAAATCTTGTCTTTGCAATTAACATACCTTCGAACTCTGAAGACAAAACAATGCCCCGCCTCTAAGCTCGATTTCCCGAAAACAGTTTTGAACTTTCACACTCTGACCTCGCAACAGGTCAGAGCTTATTATATATCTTCCAAACGGGGAGATCCAAAACAGGATTTAAACTCTACCCGCTTTAATCCAACTGTCTGACCTCACCCACACCAGTTGTATGATTGCACAATCCTTTCAGATACTTTCAGTGCTGTTCACCAAAACACTTGAATGTCACATGAAGAGCTTTTGAGAACGACCTGCTTCGAGTTCAATAGTAGAGTCTTACCTCATCTCCCTCCTTTGTCTGAATCAGCAAAGCAGCACAACACAGCATGTCGAATGAAATCAGTCTAAACAGGGCCATAGTCACCTCTCCCTGTGGTTCTCCTGTGCTTGGTCGGCTGAAATGTTTTCGTCGGCGGAAATCGCCGCCAAAGAGGGAATATGCCTTGTGGAGGGCAAGGCCATTGAAACTTCAATGTAACAGAACTGTGGTGGGGTTGGAGTTGGGAAGCGGCTGCACTGCTGTAGAGTTGCCAAAAAGCATATACATACTAGAAACTGTTAAAACAACTGTGGGTTCGGATTGTGGGTTGCAAAAACACCATTCGTGAACAAGCGCTTTCATTCAACACAATCTCAAGTCAAGCTATCTTGTGAACTTGCACCTGTCAGCTGTAAAGCAAGCTATGACCATCAACATGACTTCAAAGTCTGAACCAATGCCCCGCCTCCAAGCTCGATTTCTGGAGAACAGTTTTGAACTTTCACAATCTGACCTTGCAACAGTACTGTTCAGTAAAACACCTGAATGTCACATGAAGAGCTTTTGAGAACGACCTGCTTCGAGTTCAATAGTAGAGTCGAATCTCATCTCCCTCCTTTGTCTGAATCAGCAAAGCAGCACAACGCAGCATGTCGAATGAAATCAGTCTAAACAGGGCCATAGTCACCTCTCCCTGTGGTTCTCCTGTGCTTGGTCGGCTGAAATGTTTTCGTCGGCGGAAATCGCCGCCAAAGAGGGAATATGCCTTGTGGAGGGCAAGGCCATTGAAACTTCAATGTAACAGAACTGTGGTGGGGTTGGAGTTGGGAAGCGGCTGCACTGCTGTAGAGTTGCCAAAAAGCATATACATACTAGAAACTGTTAAAACAACTGTGGGTTTGGATTGTGGGTTGCAAAAACACCATTCGTGAACAAGCGCTTTCATTCAACACAATCTCAAGTCAAGCTATCTTGTGAACTTGCACCTGTCAGCTGTAAAGCAAGCTATGACCATCAACATGACTTCAAAGTCTGAACCAATGCCCCGCCTCCAAGCTCGATTTCTGGAGAACAGTTTTGAACTTTCACAATCTGACCTTGCAACAGTACTGTTCAGTAAAACACCTGAATGTCACATGAAGAGCTTTTGAGAACGACCTGCTTCGAGTTCAATAGTAGAGTCGAATCTCATCTCCCTCCTTTGTCTGAATCAGCAAAGCAGCACAACGCAGCATGTCGAATGAAATCAGTCTAAACAGGGCCATAGTCACCTCTCCCTGTGGTTCTCCTGTGCTTGGTCGGCTGAAATGTTTTCGTCGGCGGAAATCGCCGCCAAAGAGGGAATATGCCTTGTGGAGGGCAAGGCCATTGAAACTTCAATGTAACAGAACTGTGGTGGGGTTGGAGTTGGGAAGCGGCTGCACTGCTGTAGAGTTGCCAAAAAGCATATACATACTAGAAACTGTTAAAACAACTGTGGGTTTGGATTGTGGGTTGCAAAAACACCATTCGTGAACAAGCGCTTTCATTCAACACAATCTCAAGTCAAGCTATCTTGTGAACTTGCACCTGTCAACTGTAAAGCAAACTATGACAATCAACATGACTTCAAAGTCTGAACCAATGCCCCGCCTCCAAGCTCGATTTCTGGAGAACAGCTTTGAACTTTCACAATCTGACCTTGCAACAGTACTGTTCAGTAAAACACCTGAATGTCACATGAAAAGCTTTTGAGAACGACCTGCTTCGAGTTCAATAGTAGAGTCTTACCTCATCTCCCTCCTTTGTCTGAATCAGCAAAGCAGCACAACGCAGCACGTCGAATGAAATAATCAGTCTAAACAGGGCCATAGTCACCTTTGCCTGTGGTTTTCCTGTGCTTGGTCGGCTGGAATGTCTTCGTCGGCGGAAATCGCTGCAGACGGAATATGCCTTGTGGAGGGCAAGGCCATTGAAACTTCGGTGCAAAAGAATGTACAGTAAAAGAACTGGGGCGGAAGCGACTGCACTGCTGGAGAGTGTTGGTGCAAAATCATCGTGCTTGAATATCGGCTTTCATTCAACACAAGTTCAAGTTTTCTTCGCCCTATGGTAGCTATCCCTGCCATTGACCAAACAAACACGCCAAATGGATGTTCAAGCATGTGAAAGTCAAGTAATTCTAAATACGTAGGTACCTGGTACCCAAGACTCAGATCCGAAAAAATGTTTCAACACCCGCACTACGCACCTCTCCGTGTCTATCTCCGAAATCTCTGCAGCTGTGACTGCCAACGAAGGTACATGCCTCAAGGGGCATAGCACCCATGGCGACCATGTCTGGTTTGGAGTCTCCGCTCACGACTCACTGGAACTGAAAGCGCACATGGTTCGCGGGCACTCTGTTTACTCATCCTGTCATTCTTGAAAGCCTGGCACCACTCTTGTGTTCACGCATGTCAATCATGTGGCGACTCATGCGTACAAGCAGTTCCCGGGCAAGCCGGCGGCGGAAGTTTCCTATAAGAACACATTGACCTATAGGGGTGCCCACGTTCTCTCCACCATGCGTGTCCCTCGTGTCCCTCACTCAGCCAAACGCATGCGCTCCGGACTTTTGACACACACACACACAGCGCCACCTGTGCAAGGTCTGTGCTCCCTGCAGGATCAGCAGCTCACAACAGCGTACTGGGTTGTGTCTATGCCAAAGCAAGATCACCAGCCCACACCGGCGCGCTGAAGCAACTGGGCATCTGCAAGCGAAAGTTAAGTGCAGCTGGCGCGGGCACGCGAAGTGGGTGGTGTTTTCAAAGTTAAGTTCATGCTCCGCGCAAAAACAACGAAACTGTTCCTCATCGGGGCAAGGCAAGCGCATGTCCCGGCTGTCTGCGCGGCCCACAGCGACGCACGCAGATCGATGCCTCCCGGCAAGAGCAAGGAATGCGGGTCACACCACCGCGCGTCGGAGTGAATTGAATGTAGTTACACAAGACTTCGAATTTGCAATTTCCACCGCGACGCGGGTCACACCACCACACGCCACGGACAGAAAAGCATGAGTGCTTCAACGCATGCGCACCAATTCTGAGCTGTCTCTCCATCTCGATGTACACCTCAAATAAGAAGCAACTACAAGTGCGTTCTCTGGGGGCGATGAGTCGCGTGCGTTTGCCAATCATGGAAACGGCTGCGGAAACACATCGCGTCCATGGTCCTTGGGGAAGCTCTCCTCGATGTTTGTTCAGCCATGGCCACAATTTCCAACCCCAAAAAATCCATTCCATGGTGTACCTTTATCGCTCTCTGGCTTGCTAGCTAGCGCACATGGCGAGAGATGACTCATCCGCGTACTAAAGTTGTACTACAAAGTCGCCAGTTCTCAGCTTCTAGCTGCACAGATTGCTCCGCGTACTCAAGTTGTACTACAAAGTCACCAGTTCTCAGCTTCTAGCTGCACAAATTGCTCCGCGTACTAAAGTTGTACTACAAAGTCGCCAGTTCTCATCGTCCAGCTTGCCAGATACTCCGCGTACTAAAGTTGTACTACAATGTCGCCAGTTCTCAGCTTCCAGCTCACAGATTGCTCCGCGTACTAAAGTTGCACTACAAAGTCGCCAGTTCTCAGCTTCCAGCTTCCCAGATGCTG